GAGGAAAAACTCTTGGAAGGAAAAAGAAATTTTAAAAACTGTTCAGTTCAATTTAGTGCACTGAAGTGCGTCGAGCTTTTGCACCACGAAAATTGCGTCACTCGTGATTTTTACGCGTTTCACCTCGCGAAATGGGTTGAGTTGAATGTATATGCCCCCATTGAGTAAACTGTAATAAAGGAGAGCAGAATTATCCATGGGCACGAGTGCGGTCAGCAAAAAGGAGATGCAATTCCGATTAATGCCCGCCGCCCCAACTAAGAACAACTGAGTGGCCTCGTCGGAGGGCATCTAGCAAGTAAGGCGGTCCAACTGAGCAGGCGTTAGAACTAGAACTTTGAGCGGCTGTAGCTCGCTCAGGCAGCGTTCATAGTTCGCGACAGCAGCGGCGATCGCCGCGATCGTCGGTGCATGGCAGCGCGCGCCCCCAACGCTATTACTTGCGCTCCGAAGGCTTCTGGGGGTAAGCGGCTCAATTTTATGCTTTTTTTCCTTTAACTGCAATTTCCTTAGGTACTGAAGCTTGGTTTGACACAAGGGAAGGTGAGCCCAGCTTAATCGCTTTTGTTTTCTATTTTCTTTCTTATTTAGGATAGAAATGAGCAAAAAGCTCGAGAGCTTCACTTAAGGTACGTTTTGCTTCTTTTTTTCATTCGTCGAGGTTGTACATGAGGTTTATGAAGTTTTCACCTGTTGATGTCGCGTAAAATGATTAGTGCTTTGGTTCCTAGGAGAGTTTCTTTCTGTTTCTTTTTTTCTTCGTTGTTTGAACTCGACTTGTAAACTATGAATGTTTTGGAAGTTGGAACAGCTTAGACGATAGGAATCCTGAGGCGCATGCATAAGTTGAAACAATAAAAACAAAAAAAGAAGCTCACCCAGGAAATGGAGTTGGTCTTACCCCGACCTAAAAGGAAGTGAAACCTTCTTACCTCATATTCCAGATCTGCTTATGTGTAGAAAGTCGTAGCTTATCTGTTAGTAGCCCTTATTAAGAGTAAAGAAGGTCTTACAAGTTGAATTCCCTTATTCATCAGGCGAGCATCCACAATAGCGTTGGGGCGCGCGCTGCCATGCACCGACGCGGCGATCGCGGCGATCGCCGCTGCTGTCGCGAACTATGAACGCTGCCTCACCGCTCACTGTGGAGTCGAATAGAGTGGGACAGTCTCTAGCTTGGGGGCTGTACTACTTGCACAAGGAAGGACGACCATGTACTACTCGAGCGCGGGGGGGGGCTGTCTTTAAGAAGTACTTAATTGAACAAAGTTTTCATCTGCAGTTTAAAAAAATGTCTGTAAAACTATTAGAAAGCGCGCTTGGGCTGTTCCAAGATTTTTTTTTCCGCGACCGTAACTATCATCTTACCAGGAAAGGTCAACAGGTCAGCCTGGCCATTTGCAATGAGATGCACATCACTGTACTCATCTTGACACGGTGAACTCAGAACTGTCTTCAAAATTTGCAGAACGATTCTCTGAGCGGAGTTATGGAGGTTTTTCTTTACTGTTTTTCTTCTTACGGGCGCGCTGGCGCCGAAGCGTTGGCACATGTAGCGCGACTCACAGCGCTCTTCGCGCAAAACAGATATCGTATTCGTGTTAAGGGGGTCAAATAACCCCTAGAGACGTCACCTTAGCAAAATCCGAGCTTCTGACTCAACTTCGAAAAAATGGGGTATGTCATGGATGACTGATAGATAGCCAACAGCGATACTACGGCTAGCCTACTGGTCTCGAGCTGAAATAACTCTTCAATCATGTCTTTTCGCGAACAACAGTACCTGGCTTACTTATTTGTGCCGTCTGCATCATTTTCTTGACTATCGGGAGGAAATCCCATTCCGAGACCAGTCATCGATGGTAGGTGAGCTCCAATCTGCTGCTCTTACCCATGGAATAGCCCACATTTTCCAAGTGAGGTCGAAATATCAGATTCGGCTAGAAACTTGTCTCCAGGGGTAATTTAACCCGATGAGCATGAATATGATGGTATTTCATTGCAAAAATCCTTATGACATGTGCTACGGGGGGGACAAGCACGAGCACTCTTTCAGGCCATAATGGGTCTACACTTTCAAAAAAAAGTGGTACAGGATAGTGCAGGCGAGCAGAGATGTTAGAAGCTTTGTCGGCCATGTTCTTGGACAAATGCGGCAGGGTTCCCTTACAGGATAGTGCAGGCGAGCAGAGATGTTAGAAGCTTTGTCGGCCATGTTCTTGGACAAATGCAAAAAAAGCACCCTGCCGGGAACCGACCCTACGACGTCTCGCCTAGTAAACCCGCTCGCTATCCGTTGCGCTCTGCTGCCACGTTTCAGAACGACTCCATACATAAATGTAAAGACGCTTCCACGTTTCCTCGCGATAGCATGTGAAACGACCATGCGGGGATAAAACCTCCATAACTCCGTTCAGAGAATCGTTCTGCAAATTTTGAAGACAGTTCTGAGTTCACCGTCCCAAGACGCGTACAACGGTGTGCAGCTCATTGGAAATGGCCGGCTGACCTGATGACCTTTCCTGGTAGAAGTTTCTCAAATTCTCGTCAACTGGGTGTGTGACGGTAGAGCGCTGAACTAAAAAAAAACAGGAACCAGCGAAAATTGCTCTCGAGGCCAATGCGATTGAATAGGTTCGAAACGCTGGCGTACGCTCAGAAGGCGAGACGGATACCTATACTTTCCTAGTCGCTCGAAATGCTCGGAACGGTGGCGTACGCTCGAAGCGTTGAAAAGCTGAGAAAAGTAAAACACATTCTAACCGGACGGATAGAATCGACGTCTCCGTAGGCCGGCGATCAGACCGTTTAAGCAGAAAAGTACGTCGCCAGAGCACTAGACAACTGCAGATTGAGTTACTCGCAGAATAAGAAAGGACCCTTCGACATCGGGCGGCTAGCTACTGGGATAAAATCGTGCGGCTAGCTGTTGAGATAAAATTTTCCAAAAAAGTCCGCGTCGTTTTTTTTTGGATGACGCCGGGTTTTCATGTCATTCGAAAGCACACTATTTTCCACTCATTTTATACAAGAATACTCTTTGATTAGAAAGATGTGAACTTGTTGAATCAAAGAGTAATTTCGACTTTTGGACTGTCAAATGAATACGAAACTGCCAGTAGGCTGAAGCTAACGGATATGATTTCAATTGATTTGCTTTATTTAAATTTGATAAAAAACTTGTTTGTTAATAAAGCGAGATACGGCTATAAACGGCGGATCACTCATCAGCAGGGAGGATGCAAGGAACACAAAAGTAAGGTGTATATTTCTGCGCAGTACCACGTCCGAACCAAAAAATAAATAAGCGGCTAAAACACGAGAGCGATTTTGACCATTACTGAATTGCGCTGCTTCAAAGCAAACAATGCTTGCAGTTGAAACGACTCTTCAAATTGGACGCTGAAAACGACATGTGTAATAGTGACTGAAAACCCCTTTGTTGTTCGAAAAAATAAAGGGTAAGAGCGATACCAACTGTGGAGCGGTTGGCTAGGGTGGTGCTTCCTACGGGGAACTCTCTCCCCTCCAAAAACCATGAACGAGAAGAATGTTCAGGGACTCTTCCTGCTTTCTGAAAGTCTGCGATTTTCAGTCAGGGCACGTTGCACGCTAGGGAAAAATAGGATCCTAGTGGAGGACCCTATTTGACTGCTGGATGGGGTCGATCTTGGCCTGAGAATTTTTTCACTGTTGATTCTTCCTGTATCACATAAGTTATATTGCCACCCCCCCCCTTGTTGACGGCGCAGTCAAGGTCTTACACAATCACTATTTTAGGTTCTTCGATAGCTGGATTCAATAGTTGACTGGTGTTCTGCTTCCCCCCCCCCCACCCTCAAACTTTACGGCCGTTTTCTTTGGTGAAAACTGGGAAACTAGAGAATTTTGGTTGAAGTGGCACAAGCTGGGGATTGTCAGAAAGATAGCAGGGATGGGGAAAAGAGGGTCGCTGTGGAGGAGCAAAATTCGTATCTTGCTCACTGCGGGCCAGATTGCCACATATGGTCGCATGCCAGCAATCCACAATTGGTGAAAAACTGGCTGGCACAGCGCCGAACCCAGCCCCTGCGAGCGTCTGCAGCGAACAAGACTGTATTTGTTTATTTATATAAACAAATAAATGTCTAACATTGCATGGATGTTTATGACATATGCCGCTGAAGACGCGCCAAGCTTATCTGCCAAGGTGATCCCTGCCATGAGCAATCTGGGCGGATCTAAGGGCGCCCAAGGCCCACAGAACTCCCAGCGAAGCACCGCCGGAACAAGCGGCAGAGAACACTTTCACTCTCACGCACTTCCCAAGACGTGAGAGGGTGCAGACAAGCAGCGCATCTGGCTATGGTAACAGATCTTGTTGCCTGTCTGTGGGACGCTTTGCAAGCGGGCAGAAACCCAAAAAACATCCGGCTATCACCGTCCTCCAACTTCAACGTCATCAAATGCAGAAGGAGACAGTGGTATCTTCCTGAAGCCTCGAACCAGCCTACCCTACCAATGGGAAAAATAAACCCATAGGCAAGCGAACACTGTGTCTTTGGTGCTTGGTCTTTAAGTGTGACTTGTGTCCATGTTCCACTGGCTGTTTTTAAGTAAACTTTAATCATTTCATAAACCGTGCAAAAATTGAACCTCGCATATTTCATAACAGCATGCGGAAAAAAAACTGTTTTGAAAATTGCTTCAATGGACTTCTAGTCGGAGACTATTAGAGGTGAACAGTTCGGTGCGTAAGAATACCACTGACACTCATCATAATGAATAACGATCTATTATCGCACTGTATTCAGTAATCCTTTTCTTTTCGTCTTTCTTTTTCTCTTTTAGGCAATTACCCAGTTGATCGCTGATGAGCCACCCTAACGTTTGCCTGAAATCTGAACAGCAGATTCACCTCGTCGGGTTTCGCTTTATCTTTCATTTGCCCTGATTTCAGTACTCATAAAATGATGTGCACCTTCGAAACCAAGCCCCCTGCCAACTAGAAAGTTGAGATCTTATGTTTTGGAAGGAAATTGGCTCCTTACGGTAGCTTCCACATGTTGCATGCTGGCAGGTTGCCGTCGGTTACGCGGATGGGGAGCAGGCGGACCGTTTCCCATCGGACCAGATGCAGCATTAGCGGGAGGAGGAGAATCTGGAGGTGGAGAAATCGGACGTACCTGAAACTTTCCCACCTCGAACATTCTGTCACAAAATCAACTGACATCAGCCATAACACTTCCAAAATATCTTAGGTAGAAGGATAGATGAACGAAACCTGTTGATAGGGCTGTGGTTCATCACTATTTGGACCAATTCTACTCCGTCGACGGGCATTCATGAAGAAATTTGCAACAGTGGAGAGATCAAGGCGCAAATGCTCAGCAATGGTCTGCTGCATCTCACGTGACGGACGCTGGGTCTCTTTGAAAATAGCCTGAACTTTTCTGATATTATTGCAGATAGAAAAAAAGAATGTATTGAACTCACCTGTAGCGTTCGCTTCTGAATATCCGTGAAAACAAGCCGTGGACGCTTATTTGAAGGTTGGTCAGAGTCACCGAGGCTGCGTCGAGAAGAATGTCGCACATTTTGAGCAGGCGTTGGAGGAGACATCCCACATCCAGCGGTCGGTTTGCCACCCACAACAAGTGACTGCTCATCTCCCTCTGAAAGTTCTTGCATAACTTTCACACCATTGTCTCAGTAAAGCAATCCCTACAGCCCCAGATCCATCTCTATCGCTACAACTTCATCTCTACATGATCCATGCAACAAACAAGATTAAAAAAAAACTACGAAGCAAAAAAAAGTAAACCCCGCTCCCACGGTATGAACAATTTGAAGACGACCCACTGAAACGCGTCTCATTTATGCTACCGCTTACACTTCATCCCCCAACTGGCACTATTCCACTTATCATCACTCCGAAAACCAAGACTTTTCGCAGGGTTGTTCAGTGCCCAGACCGCGAATACGATATTGATTTTCAGGCGCTATCTGGCGCCAGTGAGCTCAATATGGCGCCACCACTGTTCTAACCAAAATCGACGAAACTTATATACGGAAGTTATTTCACATCCCGACCGCGAATGTCTCGCTCTTTTTTGACGCTGGTGCTCTTTGCGCCAACAGCCGCCAAATTGGCACATCCTTTCCTAGGAAATTGGTAGAAACTTGTATGCGAAGGTTATTTGATATCCTGATTACGGATATGACATTCATTCTTGGCGACGGCGCCAATGCAGGGCACTCTGATCATCTGCGGTTCACTGAGGCTGAGCCAGCAGCAAGAGAATCAATCTCCCGGCCTCAGCAGAGCGCTGAATTGCGCCGTGTTGGAAAACGGATGTCATCTTTGTGATCAAGGTACCAATCAACCCTACTGTGCAGGTTTCCTTGCTTTGGTGGGAAAGATGGTCGCGCCGATTCGGCGCCGTTTCGCGTGACATGGCGACAGCAAAAAAGAAACGGTTGTTATAATCAAGATCAGGGTATCTGACAAATACTCCCGTATACAAGTTTTCGCTGAATTTCGTGGAGAAGCTGGCCGCGGCAATTCGGCACAAATGGCGATAGCAAAGAAAATGGAGGTCATTACGTGATGAGCACGTCATATAACCCCTGTGTACAAGTTTTCATCAATTTTAGTGCGGAAGGTATTGACGCCACATTGGCGCCTACTGAAGCCAAATGGTGCGAAAAAGGATTGTATACACGTGATCAGAGCACTGAATAACTTCTGTGAGCAAAAACTCAGCGAAAAAACTTTTTCGAGTTTCTGGAGTAGTATGGTGGAATGTCCCCCCCCCCCTCGAGTGAACTCCCTCCCCAATTCCACCAATGACTGCGCCATTTTCTTGAAAAGCCATCTGAACTTAATACTCGTTCTTCCCTACCTTTCAATGTTGATGTAGCCGCTGACCTTTGCCCGTTTAGCAGCAGGGCCAAAGCAACACAGCATTTTCAGGATAACCACGTAACCGGTTCCCCTAGACCGCTTCTGACCAGTAAATCTACAATGTTCAGAAAATGGGTTGCAACCGCAGCACAATGTGCGCCATTAAAAGTTCACCCGACAAGTTTTCCGCGCATGGAGAGAACAATCGAGCAATAAGTGATGACTGATTATTGTGAAAACGACAGAAAGAGTTCTTTAAGGTCAATATTTTGCGAATGTATGCAGAAATCCTCTAGAATAGCAGCCAACTGCATGATGAATACCTTGCTTGTACATATCCAAAATGCCCAGTCGCATGGCAAGTGGCTGTTGGACCCAGTTGAACATTCGTCTGAAAGTTTCGCGGCCAGATTTCAATTTGTTCCACGGCTTTGGATTTCGGAGTAGATCTGATAATGTTCCTTGGCTTCTGTAATAAGAGCATATCAAATAACCTTTTTTACTATTCACGACTACACGCAAATAAATCCACAAACCTGCACAAAATACGTTCTGCAAAGATGGCCTGTGGGATGGAATGTTGCTTCAACTCATAAGCTATCCTCTTGCACAGTTCTTTGGTGTCAATGTAAATGTCATCATCTATTTCAGCATTGAGTGGATCGTTGCTGTCTTTGGTGGAATAGACACGACGTCCCGCTGAAAAATCCGAGCGTGATTTCTACAAAAGTTGGGAAGCTGTTACCAGCTGTTGAAAAATGACGATCGAGGAGACAGATGATGACCTGTTCTCGATCTTGCGTGATTATTCCTACGTGGTACGCTGCAGCGTTTCACACTTTTGACAAACTTTTTTGTGCACATGAAAACTTCGTTTTCTCAGATTGAGCTCCTTGAAAAAACTTTTCCAAAGAAAAAAAAACAGATTTGGTTGATCAAAGTCGCTATCTCAACAGAACTGTGACTAATATCTCGACAAGGCACGGTGTTGACTTTGGTACTGGATCCGAGGAAAGAAGGCTGTGGAAGGGATCTAGCGCTGTCGAGCGCACTCAGCGGAGTAGAAGAATAGGCACCATTTACCCTATTACTGCCCCAATCATCCGGAATTGAGCCAGTTTCTGACCGACTTTTTTCTCCGTGGACAGATTTGGCTCAAATGTTGTCTCCTGGGGTATTTTGACCTCCTGAATACGAATATGACATTCGCTTAGCCCGAAACTTCCTGGCGCCCGCGCCACAGGCGCCGGTGATCTGGGGTATTTTGGCGCCAGCGCCTGTAGCGCGGGCGGCAGGAGGTTTCAGGCCGAGCGGATGTGATATTCGTGTTCAGGAGGTCAGACTACCCTGAGAACAAGTTTTCAGCGAATTTGGTGATTTAAGGTATTTTGGCGCGGGCGCCAGGAGGTTTCGTGCCTAGCGGATGTGATATTCATGTTCAGGAGGTCAAACTACCCCAGGGGCAAATTTTCAGCCAATTCTGCCAAGGCAGAAAAAAGTCGGTCAAAAACTGGGCCTTTTTCGGAAGATTTTTGGAATATTGGGACAGTAAAGGGTGAATAGTGCCGAAGAATAAGAAAAATAGCACTCAGACAAGCCTGACCCCCTCATTCTAGGCCAAACGACACCAACTTGTGACCATGTCGCCGCGTACGCTGAAGAACATCGTAGTGATGTGATGGCAGGCAGAACCACTCCAGCCTTTGGGCTCTTCGCAGCTAAGAGGATAAGGCTTAGCCGTTGAGAAGTCCCTTAACAGGAACAGCACGTAATCCATTTCCATTCAGAATGCTACATCGAGAGGGCAGGCGACGAACAAGTCACTGTCCTCGGTTTTCCGAGCGAGTATAGTACCAACTGCCGAGTTCAAAAGACCAAAAGCTCGGTGTGGCTCTGGTGGAAGCCGAACCGAGATTTGACCATCAGGACGCGCGCGAAGTAAAAGGCGCCACTTGCCTTTGCACCTCCTCCGCCCTACTAACTTGCTAATTTTAATATTACGTTACTTCATTACATTCATGTATGCTGCTCCTGATATTGTTGGTTCAAGGCCAAACAAGTAGGCTGAAATGGTGAAAATGTTATAACTTGGCCTGTATCGAATTTTCACGCTACTGCATATGTTATAAAGCAACGAACGCAAGAACAGGCCAAAGTGGGCCAGAACACTTGGCTGAAGATAATGGAAGAAAATATTGTACTTCGAGGGTTTTTGCTTCCTTATAAACTGATTTTGCAGCGGTGATATGCATTGAAATAAATATTGAAGCTCACGATAAGAGTTCATGCTACTAGAGTATACGCCATTACGCCTCCGTGCATACCTTTTTGCGAAAACTGTTGTCTCTGAAGCTCCAGATCGGCATCATCTCCGTTTGAGCGGCCCTCGAGAGAGTCTTCCGTGTCCCGCTTTATATTTGCTATTCGTTGTTGCATCATAGCCGTTGCTGATTGAGGAACACCCACCGAGTAGTTTTGTGGAGACGGAGAAGATGTTCGCTTGAAAAAAATCTCCTTAGGAACAGTGTGGTGCATTATTGTTAGGTCAACAGGGAACTTAAGGTGAAGCAACTCGGCTAAGAGAGAGGCTTTAAACGAGTCACTACGTAAATCTGGGACGACCGTATTCGTGTTGGGTAAGGCCGCGTTCATACATTATGAGTTTGAAGAAATGACGAAATTGCGGATAGAAGACAGTATGCGCATCGATTTGAAGAACCGCTGAATTGGGAGAAATGCAGAATCTAAGGAAGAAAGAAAATGTAGGTATCGATGTGAAGAAATCACGAAACTGCGGATCGAAGAAAGTATATGTATCGATCTGAAGACCCGTGGAAGTGCGAGAAATACAGAAATACCATAAATTGCGCAGAATCAGGTTATTCCCACTAGGGAGGGGGGGATAGGTTAAGCGGTCAATCCCTACCAAGTCGTTGTCTGTCTTTCGGCATCTCTCCAGATTCCGCATTTCTCCTCATTCCGCGGTTTTATTACATATACTTTGTTCTGTTCGCAGTTTCGTCATATCTTCGAAGTTGTCACGTATAAATGTGGTCTAACCCTTTTCGTAAATGGAAATCTGTTCACCAATCCCTATGCTAGTTCCCGCTTGGGCTCTGGCCAACATCTCCATTTTCTATTACGACCACCCTTGTTTTGCACAAAGACTGCTCCAAAAGCCCCTTCAATCAGCCGAGTGATGCCCTTTTTCTGTTGGTACAAAAAAAACTACCTGCTCTCCTATCAGACTAGCAATCATAGTAGAAGCCAATTCCACGTTGCTCACAGCTGGGGGTGTTTCCGCCTGCGCGATGCGTTCCAACTCCTGTTGCTGTTGTTGTTGTTGGGAGGTCAATGGAATTTGTTGCTGCATAAGCAGGTGATGGGAAGCCGCATCAAGAGGATCTGTTTCTTCCTGATAAGCAAAAACATTTGAATTCTACAAAACATATAATAAGCAAGCAAGCTAATTGAAATGTGCAGCGCATTAACATAAAAGAATGATGACTGTTGCCCATCTGGAGAAAACTAGTACGGTCTCCAACTACGTATTTTCCAATATCGGTATATCATGCTCACCTTGATGTACACATGGCGAGCGAAATTCGGAATTCCCCGTCAATCGACGACTATGACTGTCCAAATGGAGAGGCGAAAGCAAGCCAGCAGGTCCAGTACCAAAGCTACAATGAACTAATCTCTTATGAACTCAAGAATATGCGAATCAAACTTTCAGGCCAAAAGTTATCAGTCGAAAGGCGTTTGATGAGAAGAGTTTGGATCTCTGCCCAGTCCGGAGATCCCAACTAATGAAAAATCTCCCTAAAGAAATACTAAAATAAAGAAGACCTGATTTAAGAAGGTACGTAACAGCAACTGACAGTTCTTATATCCTATATCCCTAGTACGGAGTAGGCGTGGGATTCAAACATGGCACCAGATGGTTATTCGTGAGATATTTTAATTTAAGACTGTCACCTTGTTCTGTATTTTAAAAACATGATTACAAGTAACCCAAAAGCAAAACACCTCACGAAGAGCTCAGCCGCTGCCTGTACTATTTAAATGCGTAGCCACGCACCGCATCCCAGGAACTTTGAGTGTAAGATGCTTTATCATGGTGACTGCAGTGCACCGCATAACGTATAGCGCACCTGCGAAAACCTGAAGTGGGTTCGAGTCTCGCATGTGGCAAGTTTTTTTTGCAGATAACCGAGTATTTCCGAACCAGTAGAGACAGGGTCAAAAAAGCGGTACAGTTTGACGTCGAACGAGATTCCTTACTGGCTATCAGACTTTCGTTTCGCGCAGCTCAACATTTTCAGATAAACATTAACCTCCCCAGTTTTTTTATAAGAAGAGACTCCTAACTAGCACCCTAGCCTAGCAGACGCTCCACGGTTGAATATTTGGTCTATTTTTTAACTACACACAATGCGAAGTAAATGAATGTAGGTTAAATATACTCCAGTTCGCTGCGGACGGTTGGGCGTGTCAGTCAAAGCCGTTCTCTGCCTTCTTGTTGAAGCGCATGCGACAAAAAGTGGTAGAAAACGAGTAATAAACGATATGATACAGTCATATCACTTGCTCGCTTTAACAACTGGTGGAGAACGGGTTTGGCACCGCGCCAAACTCATCCCGCCTGACACGCCCAACCGTCCGCAGCGAATTACACTATGGAAATCAAACCAATAAAATACCACAATCCAATTCAAATCCAGAACAGGAAAAATGAGAAGCATCTGAGATAGCTATAAAGTAGCAACCGCCAATAAAAGTGGAAGAGCAGAAAGCATACCTGTCGAGCCTTGACTTGTCTAGCACAGGATGCCGAATTTGCTCTTGATATTGGCTTCCTATTGACATCATGTAAGGGCCGCTAAGAAATAGTTTATTCTCATGGTGCTACCATAATAAATAGGAAGACATTTCAGTAGTAAATGGATGAACCTTTGGTCCGAGCCAATGCTCATCGGAGCTAGTGGTGCAAGCTGCGGACTGTTCGCATGATCGTTCATCAGCTGTCCTAACGACTGCGAACTTTGTTGGGGGCTGATGGTGTCCAAGAAGTTTTCCGGCAAATCTTCAAAGTTCCGAGTAGCATTGTTTATGAACGTGCTAGAAGGATCGATCTGTAGGTAATCCGCAGCCTGACGACGCACTTTTTCCATCCTGAAATGTTCCTGACTAGAAGTGCAGTGCAACAAGAAACAAGAAATGGAAGATCTTTCTAACCCATTGGAGGAGCTTTGAGAGTTACATGAAGTCACCGCAGGCGGCTCCATGACATAGACGTTTATACAACAGCTCCAGGAGCAAGTGGACAAGGGGGAACCTGCAACCTAACAAGATTAGCGAATTTCAATGTGTTTTCAGCGACACATATCCACGGAAAGATATAGCACAGCGCCACTCTGCAAAGGTGACCTCGAGTTCAAGGCCTTACATCTGCGATAGCCGTTCGCGTTTTATGTGCGAAGTAAGACGCCACATGCGATTACTAAGAAAATGCACACTTCGTAGGAAGTTATCTACAGATAAAAAGTCTGAACCGTCTGGTTTGAGGATGCTTTCTTAAGAAATATTCAGTTGAGTCTAATTTCCATAAGCGTTATTTCGCTGCGCTCTAGTGAGATAGGCAAGCAGTGCCGACCAAATAACAGGCAGAAAATTAAAATTCCTCTGAAGGACACCTCTACATTACAATAAGCACTAAGGTGAAAATGCTAACGGCAAAGGAAATCCCTTAGAGAAAAGTATTGATTGGCGACACAAACCGATCGATAGCAGTGTTGTGTATGCGCTATTTGCAACGCCCCCCGTTCTCTGCCTGGCAAGAGTTTTCTCTGGACTCTGACGGCGAACGCACGTAAATGAGCTAATACTCAGCCGAGTGCATGGCCGCTTGGTACGCAATGAAAGCCAAGAATGCCTGTCGACATGGAGTGGGCGGGATTTGGCATGTTGCCGACCACTTCGCCATTTACCGACGGCGTCGATGCGTGAACAGGTGAGATGTGGGTGCTGCGGTAAATTTCGGCACTGGACATGGCTGTTTGAGAATTTGGGTCGGCACTGCTATGTTTACGGTGCGCCCTTCATGCGAAGAAGAAGAGTAAGCTGAGCATTGTTGAGCGAAGCTGCGAATTTTTCTTGTTCCATTAAGTAGCCTTTAGGAGAACTTTAAGGATCGTCTGTGAGTAATTAATTTAGTGATGCGACGGGCAAAGTGAGGAACTCAGAAAAATGCTGAAATGCAGAGGATCCCTTCGAAGCAGAGAACTTGTGGAGAATACACAAGTGCTGCAATCCGCACCAGCTTGTCCATTTACCGTTCCTCCATGGGGAGCAAGACGACTGCGCTTACTCCAAAATCTGGTGGTTGAGCGGGCCTTTCCAAACAGTTCCTGTGTAGAACTTCCTCCGCGAAATGCTCATGTGGTTCATTTTGGGCGTTAAGTTAGGAGAGGGGAGGGCCATTCGGCTGCGCCACGGTATAGTACTTAAACAAGCTCAGGATTAGTGCCAGACGACCAAACTCATCGAAGGATAGTTCCGTAGAGAATATGTAGTCTCCACTAAACTTAAGCCTTAATTAAAGAAGGGACACGAAAGTGCTGGTCCCCTCAACTGCATTACTGCCGTTGTTTGCTGCTGTCAGCGGGCTTCTAAGTAGCGAATGTACTTGGATATTCGTTCATTCTTGTAATGGGAAAAAGGAAGGTAGACTGGTCGTTCTGTTTACTTGGAGGGGGTTTAGATTTTTTGCAGAAGAATCATTCCTAGATTGAATTGTTGTCCAAAGTGATAATACCTGATGAGTTTTCCTTTTTAGCACTGCAGTGTCATAAAATTATAACCTTAGAGGTCAAATTTTCCTTCTCAGTGGTGTTGTGAGTTCATTGTAGCAGCTTACTTCACTCTGTTAACTTGGTGTTTCGAAAGCAGCATTCATTAATATATTTTTATTGCTATTTATAACCGATCGGCGCAGTGTGGTTTGCCAATATATTCGCCATAACCTCCTGGGATAACGAGTACAAGCCTCAGCTGATCCCCTTTTCGTTAACGCTGTCGAAATACACAAAGACTAGCGAGGGATCTATTGCCTTCTGTCAGTATGTAATTCGAGTTCGCAGCGAGCTAGAATGTGCCCTTTTCGTGGCTCGAAAGTGCGCAGGAACTACGCGTCAAGCTAATCACTTAGGCCCGTTGGGTCTATGCCGACGTGTTCCACTGGTACGTCACTTTGCTGCGTGTTATTGCTCAGCGTTCGTTTGTCTAGTCTCTCGCCCGTACTTGCAATCTCTCTCTCCCATACTCACCTAATGCTTTAAATGTAAAGGGGTTGAACTCTTTCAACGTTTTTTTTCTTTTCCTTCACTACTTAATTAGCTCATACTCTTTCGTTGTGAGCCCTCTTAGACGCATCTCACGGTGAGAAGGGTCGTAATTGCGGACTCAGAGGCGTGCATGACAGCGGGCTCAAGGATTTCTTGCTAAGAGCGCGTTCAGACTTCGCGATCGCGCGATCCGGATCGCGCGATCGCGCTACTGTGGGTGAAATTACACCGGGAGGGGGTCATGTTCGTTCATGTTTATTGTTCCTGTTCTTTTTTCCTTTTCCTTCTTTCTTCCTTTGTGTACATAACGCCCTCCTAATTTTAAGGAACGTTTCGAAATATCTTTGAGTTATTTATTATTTCCTATGTAAAATAGTACTAAATATACAATATGCTAATTATTATACTGAATTTTGCATCTGAGTACGTTCAAGCGGAGTATTGAACATCTTGTTCCAAAAGTAAGACACGCAGAACTTCAACAGCGGAGACGCGGCCGGTGAATCCGTGACCCTTTACAAGCTAACCGTTGGTTTTTTTTTTTCTCATTGGGCCACAGCTGCTTGGATTGGACATGCGCCGCACCGCCCCCGTTACAAACTTTTAACATGGGAAGGGACTGTAGGTACATAGTTGATTCCTTGAATTGACTTCACCGGTAGGAATTTCGGCACCCTAGTTCCTGAATGTACCATTTATTCGACTTATTATACTTTTCACATTGATAACCCCTACAAGCTCTTTTGTGTTTTCTCTAATTGACTCACTGGGTTGGAATTAAGCACCCTACAACTTCTAAAAGTCCTTATTATATTGGATGAAGTATTCTTAACTGTAACCTAGCGCAAAGCCCCGGTCAACAGGTCAGCCTGGCCATTTCCAATGAAATGCACACCGTTGTACTCGTCTTGAGACGGTGAATTCAGAACAGTCTTCAAAATTTGCAGAACGATCCTTTGAGTGGAGTTATGGAGGGGTTTCTCTCCTCGTGGTTGTTTTACATGCTATCGCGACGAAATGTGGAAGCGTCTTCACATGCATGAAATGGGTTTTTCCGACACGCTCGGGCAGCCAGAGCGCAACGGCATAGCGATTGTGGGTTCGCTACCGCGGACGTCGTCGGGATCGGCTTCCGCCCCCATCTGTGCCTACTCTGCATTCTGTCCAAAAACATTTATGACAAGCTTCTAAATCTCTGCTTCCTGCCCTATCCTCCTCCTCCTTTTTCCCCTTCTTTCCCTGTAAAAGGAACCTTGCAATCAGTTTTTTTTAGCGGAAGTGTGACCCTTTGTTGGCCTGAAGGTGTTTTGTTGTCCCCCTCGTAACACATGTCACAAGGGTTCTTGCAGTGAAATACCATGATATTCATGTTCAGCGGGTCAAATTACCCCTGGGGAGAAGTTTCAAGCCGAATCTGATACTTCGACCTAACTTGGAAAATGTGGGCTATGCTATGGCCTGATGCCGTGAGGCGTGGCCCGTCCAACCCGGCCACTCAATTACTGGTCTCGAGATGGAATTTCCTACCGTTAATCAGGAAAATGATGCAAACTGCACGAATAAGTGGGCCAGGTGCTGAAAGACATGACTGGAGAGCTATTTCAGCTAAACAGTCATCATCAGTATGCTAGTCGTAGTATCGCTGGTGGCAATCAGTCAGCCATGACTATCCATACCCCATTTTTTCAAAGCTGAGTCAGAACCTCAGATTTCGCCGGGCTGCCGTCCCCCTGAACACGTAGCTTATCGACACCTATATTGTGCGGAAAGCTCGGTGCAGCCTGCTACAGTGCATTCATTCGGCGCCACGCGCGCCCCGCACGAAGAACGAAAACAGGTAAAAAACCTCCATAACTTCGCTCAGAGGATCGTTCTGCGAATTTTGGAGACTGTTTTGAGTTCACCGTCTCAAGACGAGTACAAAGATGTGTACCTCATTGCAAATGGCCAGGCTGACCTGTTGACCTTTCCTGGTAAGACTGTGAGTATTACACTCTAAGTATTTCAGAAGTAGTTTCCTTACTTTTTATTAAGACCAAATATTATGAAATAGTGAAATGCAATAGTATTCATCACAATGATCGACGGCATACACTGCTGGAAACGCAGCGCAATCTCAACTATTCAAACACCACTTATTACAATAGTGATTAGCACTTGTAGGGTTAATGCACATAATCACAGAAGCGCCAAACTCGAATAATTGGTACGTTCAGGAACTAGGGTGCCGAAATCCCTACCGATGAAGTCAATTAAAGAAATCAATTATGTTCTTACACCTTCCATGCCGTTCAAAATGTTATTTGAAGGGCCGGTGCGCCGATGTTCCAATCACATCAGCGCGCCTCAATGAACAACGGGTACTGTACACACGGACTTCACGGCCGCTTAATTGTCTTGCTGCAAGAACTGTCGAACAGCGGGTGCATGTTGTTTCTCTCCTTTCACCCGATTTTGGCCACGTCCTACAGATATTCAACTTTACCTCTTTGTCAGGATTGTGTTTGCTTTCGTTTGTTCTGCAGCATCCTCACAGGTCTCATGACACAACCTTTCGCTTTCGACGGTTTCTGCAAATCGATCCAGTAATGTGGCGAACTATGATACGCGCCATAAAAGACATCTAAAATAGGTCGAATCTTACTCTATTATAATCGTTTTCTGGAACTGCTATATGGAGAGCAGACAGCATCGTGATGTGAGAAATGGTGATATTAGTACGACTCCCTTCCCAGAACTTTGTTGTGTTGTTGTTTGTTGAGTTCAGTTGAACATGAACGAACTTGACCCCCTCCCGGTGTAATTTCACCCACGGTAGCGCGATCGCGCGATCCGGATCGCGCGATCGCGAAATCTGAACGCGCTCTAATAGTGCTGTTTTTTCAGCTTCAGTTTTAGTGAGTATGAGTGTCGGTTAGATTTTCATGCATACAGAAAAAAGTGGTTCGTTCACGGGAACTCTGCAGTTTTTCAAAGGCAGCTCAAAAGGATGCTGCCCATTAAGGGAACTTGCGTAGATACTTGCATGGACGCGATTCAGCGCCCGTGAGAAGACCCTGCTGTGGTGTCCTTTATCGATGTGAGGGTACGCATTATAGCGCGTGTAGCCTACCACATCACAACCAATCGCTCGCTCCTAACCCGGCGCCACAAATTGGACGACCAATCGCTGATCGGCTTACATCGCCTTTTAGAGGTCGGACTTCCGACTCTCGCGATTGGATCGCGCGATCCGATCGCGCTACTGAGGGTGAAATTACTGCGGGAGGGGGTCATGTTCGTTCATGTTCAACTCAACTCAACAAACAACAACAACAAAGTTCTGGGAAGGGAGCGTACTAATATCACCATTTCTCACATCACAATGCTGTATCCTGCCTCCAATAGGCAGTTCCAAAAACGATATAAAAGTAAGTTCGACCCTTTTTGATGTCTTTTATTCCGTGTTCATATTCGCAATACTGACGTTTGCAGAAACCGTTGAAAGGAAAGGTTGTGTATAGACCTGGAGGATGGCAGAACAAACAAAGCAAACACATGTGACAAAAGTAAAGTGAATATCTGGAGGACTGGCAAAATCGGGGGAAGGGGAACGCCGGAGAGCAAACGAAACATCACCCGCTGTTAAGACTGGGCGCTGTCTTACTTTTGGAACAAGATGTTCAACACTCCGCTTGAACGTACTCAAATGCAAAATTCAGTATAATAATTAGCATATTGTATATTTAGTACTATTTTACATAGGAAATAATAAATAACTCAAAGATATTTCGAAACGCGTTCACTTCAAAAATTAGGAGGGCGTTATGTACACAAAGGAAGAAAGAAGGAAAAGAGAGAGAGCAGGATCAATAAACATATACGCACATAACCCCCTCCCGCAGTAATTTCACCCTCAGTAGCGCGATCGGATCGCGCGATCCAAGCGATCCGATCGCGCGATCGCGAAGTCTGAACGCGCCCTTACTTTTGAAGTACGTTTGAGGCGAAGAGATTGAGATGAAGCCGCTGTTGTGGCGCATGGATATATGGGTACATATAGTGTAGTTCACTGCGGACGGTTGGGCGTGTTCGTGCGGCTGCGTTTGGCGCGGTGCCATTCTCCACGAGTTGTTCAAGCGAGCAAATGACAATACTGTATCATACCTTTCGTATCACATGTTTTCTTTCGACAGGGAACTCGTCCGAAATAACTTGCTGAGTCGTGTAGAACAAAGGCCCTTTTCAGGTTCTGGTCGTTTCACCTCACTTTTTCGCCATTTTCTCCATTGTTTAGCACCCCTGCTACCACTTCAGACAGAGTACCAAATTATCGTGTCAGCTGCCTTTAAGTACGCAACCACGACCATCTATCTTCTGAATACGTACATACAAAATGCAATCTCGAAATGTGCCTTTAGTTGTACTCCGACAAATGACAAAACAGTCTGTTTAGATTCTTCGGCGAGTTCAAACTGTATCCGAACTCAGATGAGCTTGAATAAACTCAGACATAGGGAAGTGCAGGAGGAGGAGAGAGGCAGCACACTGTTGAGAAAAATCTGAAAGGGACGGCAGCGAAGCGTAAGTTGCTCATCCTAGTCCTCGTTTTCGAGACCTACGTCCATAAGATGGCAATGAGTATTTTCACAGGCAATTTTCAGAGTGCTCATGACGTCACTTGAAACGAACTTGGCCGATTTAAACTTAAAAACCTCGCAATTGCTGTCCAATTGCTTGACCTCAGGAGATCTTTGGCTCAAGATTGTGGACACAAATAGGAATAGTATCTACTATATGAGGTACAAATCAGTTACAGTAGAAGGGAACAGGATTTGGAGCGACCATTCTTCAGCGAAGATGAGGTGGAAAGGATTGGTAGAGAGACAAATCCAGGTGATCACGTCTTACGAGCCTGGAGCAATCGTGGTCAGTCGGTACGTGATCTGCTGGTACGGCTACAGACTCTTTCTAAGCACTATGGAGCTGACATGGATCAGGCGCAACTTATTCTTTCGAGGAAGTTCAGTGAGTTGCTCGCGAGTTTTCTGGAAAATTGAAATAAGAAACCTAACAACAGCGGTAGACGAATTGTTATTTAAGAGGCGTTCATCTTGGACTTGAGGCTGCGTTCATACTTTGCAACTGAGAGATTGCCGGTCTGAAAGGTTGTACGTCGTGGAAAGCATAGCTGTAGATTTGGCGACTGCAGAGATTGAGCGATTCGGTTTATTCTGGAAACTCGGCGTTTCACCAGATCGCGCGTCAAGGGAGTGGACGGGTATCAAACGACGCCGGTCGCTAGCCATTGCGAAATCCAGCGTTTTGGGAGATCGTCGAGTCCTTCATACCTCCGGATCGCTCAATCTATGCAGTAGTCATGTCGATACCGACACTTTCCTGGTCGCGCAGTATCTCAATCGCCGAATCTACTCAGCCGCTAAGTGTGAGCACGGCGTTACTCGTTGTGTTTGTTGTTTCCCTTCTGGTGAGGGTTTGCATGCCTGTAAAGCTGCAATCATACTTGAGTCAGCATGCCGCAACGTTTCGAGCGTACACCAGCGCCAGCGACTGGAAAAGAATGGAAAAGCAGCTTTTCGCGGGCAGTTTCGCATAAGCTCAAATGCCCGCAAACTCGCCGGCGTTCGCTAGGTTGATATTTATGCTTTCCTAATCGTCGACGTATGCTGACGTACGCTGACGCAAAGTACGAACGCGGCCTAGGTGGTAATTGCTTGGTTATTTGTTCCCGCAATCACTTCTTCATATACCTCAGCGGTGAGGGGGAGGGCTATGGAAAGCGAGATAGGTGTTCGTCTAATCACAGTGGACACTCGTCAAGTTGCTGTCCAATCAGAAATCCATCAAGTGCACTGGTTTCCTGCCGAATTTCCCTCAAATTGCTTTCTTACATGGTTATCGATTTCCTGCAAAAGAATCTGCTCATAGCTAACTGCATCCTCCTCATACCTCGCGCTGGGTGTAATCGTAGAGTTGAAAAATCGGATACCAGTTGGTATCTGGTCTTACAGCTTTCCCATTTCTTCGATTCCCCCAATTCCACGATTCTCCGAGTCTTCGGTGTTGCACCATGCAAACGCATTACGCGCTATACAAAGTGAGTTCTTTGTAGGTCCATTAGGCTGCGTATTCATTGCTACCGGAGAACATTCGATTTGACATTTCTGAAGAATCGCGCTAAAGCAAAGTATGGGCATAAGTCAAGCGATCTGGTAGAACAGGAGAATCGGCGGTTCGACGTTCAAGGAGAATGTGCGCCGAAGAGGGGTTGTTAATGGGCTCGACCAGTTGCTGGCGATATGGTAGAACAGCAAAATGGGCTACCTGGCGTTTTGGGAGAACGCACGCTCTCCCAAAAATGTCGAATCGCCGATTTGGGAGGACTGTGGGTGGACATTCTTACTTATTCTCGTGAAGTGTCTTAAAAACTGCTCGTACATCTCAGAATAAACAAAATAGCTCGGTTTCCTGGTAAACACCACTACGGATCGATTCGCTCTATTTTCAGAGCCACTTCGATGGGCTAAGTCAGAAGAGATCACTGTCAGCATAATGCAGGACAGCGGAATAGTACGGTTGCAGTGTAGGGCAGCGGGGTTTCCATCTCCTCGCTATCACTGGTACAAAGATGGTGAACTCATCGAAGGCGTTTTGTCTGACTCCGTCGATGTTGTTAGGTGAGTAGCCTTTAATGTTGAATAGTCCTTCTCACATTTAATCTTCTATAACGAATTTTGTGCTACTGCTTCCTTAGCTTGGTCTATGCATTCATTAAATCCTTCGGTGACCGCTCAATCAGCTATCAAGCATACACTAGTCTGGCATTCCTACGGAATGAAACGGTCAAAATCCTGCGAAGAAAAAGCCTCCGTTCTCAGTGACTTGTAAATCGATTTCGGACGAGTTTCCCGTAGGCATCTTACCAATCACCGCTACCGAAGATACGGCTGCATATGTGTACCCATGTATGCATGCAGCATCACGGCCGCTTCATACCAATCCCTTCGCTTCATAATTTGCTTAGCAAATGAATGAATACGAGCGTCAGGAACGGTCGTCCATTTGTGGGCGGGCGGGCGTGGCGGGCGTTTGGGTCGGAATGTTGTGGCTTGATAGGGCCCTTATAAGGGCACCTCCTTGGAAAAGGCATTATGCAGCGCCTGCTCAGGGTCGCGGAATTCCGTCCTGCCAGGCGTATTAATCCTACTCGTCTTGGGGGATTTATCGTGCCAACTGCCTTTAACTTTTTCATGAATCGTTTTGAAAATGATTTCCTCGATCAATCAACATCAAAAGTAATCGGAATTCTTGGCTAATAGCTCAAATCACTTCAGAATAGACTTCAAGAGTACGTTTTCCGTTCTCAGTGTTCATGACCTTGGCCTGGGCAGTTCCATGAGAATTGAATTCGAAGTAGCAAGTAATGAATAGATCTTCTGTAAACATTTGTCAAATGTCATACCAACACTGCGCCATTTCGGCGTCCACAAATCACCAGTTTATGGCGAGACCTTTACGTTTTTTGCTCATTGTTCTATGTATCTCGTCCTTTCTACGTTCCCTCTTTCCTGAAAGTTTTTCTCTGTTCCTTTGCTGTGTCTTCGCCTCTCGCTGTATAGAGTTGCCGTCTGTTTAATTTTGTTTCTTACTTCTATTCTCATCAATTTGTGGTTGTGAAAATTTGTTTCGAGCCTCTGTGCTTAGATGTAGAATGATTGGGTCTAAAACAGAAATTGTTCCAGATGGAGGTTCATCCAGAAAAAAAAGGTCTCACACGGCTACCCTCTATGTCGCGGAGATGGGAAGGCGTGGTTACATACTTCATTAGAACTTGGAGTTTTGGTGTATATTAACACTTCAGACAACCGTAATCCTGTCTTAATCTGGACAAGAATGTGATGACAGTCGCCCAGTTTCGGCACTATCATTCCGGAATAGCAGCGGCCACGTTCAAATGAACTATGCATAACTGCTCACCTCCAGGATACGGAGTTTTCCTTTGATCAACTTATCTGATAGCGATTGTGATTTTCGGAAAAATCCAGTTTGGAAGCGGTCCTGCCCACCAAAACTTCAAAAGCAATTCTCTACGTAGAGTGGTTTCTACATCGTGTTTTCCGTTGTTTTTTTATTGTTAGGTGATATTTAGCTGTGGACGATGCGAGGAACGACGCGTGTTCTCCATGATTTTTTTTATTTTTTCTTTCCTGGGGAGTCCTTTGGCGACTGTAGGTTTGTTATTAAACGCCATTTCACAATACACTATAGCGTTGTTTGTCTTCAAGCAGATAAGACAAGGAGATTTTTGCGAATTGACACTACTGAAATAGCGATGTAGTCCTCTCAGAAACCGTCCATCGATCACGTATTTCTGAAAATTTGTTTATTTTTTAATTTAGTGAGTTCTTAGCTTCCATAATGAGAGGAGTTGTAGGTTGTATTTGTAGGTGTAAATGTTCATCGGACCTCAAATTCCATTGCGTCGCAACCAATGAAATAGAAGATGGCCACATATATTCCGAATTTTATCGCAAACCTGGGAAACAGTACTCCTCTCGAATCGTTTCGCGCACTATCTCACTGGAGCCCTTCGTTGGTCAAGAACAGAGTATGTTTCCGGTTTATTCTGGTTTTAATAGTGCTACAAGATATATAGCTCCATTCTCAAGTGGTTGCTTAAAGTAACTGTCATATTTATCAAAAATACGGGTGTGCACGGAAATGGTCTAGAGGATCTGAACAGTTAGATCTCTCTTTACATCTCCAGTCGCATTCGATTCGTGATAAGCAAATCACACTTTGCGAACATGTTGCCAGCACGCGCTGCGTGCCACATCCCGCAACGAACGTGTGGACACGCTGCAGATGTCGCGCAGCAGGGGACAATTAAGTCCATAGGTGAGAGGGCGCAGGAAAGCAGCGCATTCAATACGCTTTTGTCTGGTGATGTGCGGCGTGTGGTGCTGACGTAGCTATACTATCCAAGCGGTAGCGCCTTTATGTTGTCGCTTAGAGATAGCGCAGATAGATAAAAAGGATTTCTAGCGCAGATAGATAAAAAGGATTTCTTTGAAAGAAGGGGCACGAAAGAACGCGGTGAGACAGGGATGGACTTTCCCCAAGCGGAGTAGATTTTGGAGTAGTTGGACCACGGAGGCTGTGTTCATACTTTGCGATTACGCGAATAGACGTGCTGTGAACGCAATCTTATCCTAAGAGAAAATTAGAATGAATAGAGTGCTCCCATGATTTGCGATGTAATTGCTGGAATCGCGAAGTATGCACGCGCTTTGAAGTCAGAGCAAAAAAAATTTTAATAGAGACAGAAACGCATGAAAACGAGAGTGAGTGAGGACAAGAAAACTGGGTAGTCCACGACGATTCTGGTTGCCTGCGCTCTACGCTTAGGTTTTGCTCGAGGAAGAGACGCTTAGCCCCGCTAATCTGGTTGGCCTCCGGTGGGTTGTATTGGTGTGGTTTGCATGTATATAGGTTGCTCATTTCAATCTTTTGCTGCTGTGTTCACCTACAACTACTATAAGCACTCCGTTTCGATTCCGTGCACTCTCGACTGGTGAGAGATATTTCCCCACTACTACAGACGTGTCCACCTCGCCTATCCAAACTAAAGAGTCTCCATGGTGATCATACAGTATGCTTTTGATATCGGTTGGATATTCATTTCAAGCGGGATGGGTTGACCATGGCAGCCAACCGCATGATGTAGAGAAGCAGAGATAGTAGCCTCTCAATAGAAATTCCCGCGATTCCGCCGTAGGTGATAGCATTAACGTTTGTTTGACTCCTGAAATCTCGTGCGATATCTTTGTGTACGTCTTGCCGCTGGGGAAACTTATGGAAACCACAATCCCACCACCAAATTCCCTCCTCTGCTACGACTTCCCCCTCCCCCAACGACGTGCAAATAAGACTTCCAGCGATTGAATATCGCCTGTGACTGAAGAAAAACCAACTACGAAAAAAATTTCTTGGACCAAATATGATCCCTCCCTAGCAACCAAATACGACCTCCCCCTGGGGTTTCCCTGACAAGGGAAGGATACCAACTCGTCCTGGCCATTCAGAATGAGATGTATACTCCTAGGAGCGTCTCCGGATGCTGATATCAGATCTGACTTCCAAATCTGCTAAACGATTCTGGGTGGAGAGTTACGGACCTTTTTTGCTACCGTGCTTAACCATTGCGGTGCGACCCCCTGCCCATGCTTTGCGCTCGTAAACCCCTCGTGACCCAGCTGCCGCCGTGGCTCGATGGCGCAGCAGGTAAGTGGATGGCTTCATAGTAGTGAGACGGAGGTTCAAATCCTTGATGCATTTCGTAGTTTTGCTTTTTCTTGAAACGCATGCTAAACACTTGGGAAGTAGTTTTGCGTACCTGTCCGACCACCAAGACCCCTCCCTGCTACTTATTGAGCCCCGCGAACGATTTTCGTGGAAACTTACACTTTTGCCTAACTAGCTCAAGCAAGGGACCAAATACACATGCATATCTGCTTGGAGCTCGTGAACTGCGAGATTTCATCATCCTATAGGATGACAACGTGTGTGGCCAACGAAAGAATTCGTCATCTCTGGTAGCTCTCTTCACTCACGCCCACAATATCAGCCAACATCTTTGCGACCTGTCCACCATAGTTGGAAATGTTCTGCCGGACTCTGGTGCTATCACACCTAGTGAAAGAATTCGGGTCTTGCGATATTGTTTGATCACTATCCCGCAAAGAAAAGAAGATTGCAGAGAGTTTCTATCCTATTGTGCGCGACGCACTGTACTACAACCGTATAATCGACTGCGAGGGAGATAGCTTCGTGGAGGACGAACATACGGATCCTTTCTGGGCATCTGAAGATAACGATGAATCCCTTCAGAGCATCTAGATTTGAACAATTTCTTTCTTAATCCTGGTATTCAGCAGGTTACCTTGACACTCATCCAGACGAGTTCGAGAGTTCTCTCCAATATTGCATTACATATCATCTGGAGGGAATCTGTGAGAATAATGGTTGCAGCGAAATTCTTTTTATTCGCAGCTCACACTGTGAAGAACTTTTTTGCTCTAACCATTTTGTATTGGGATATCACACTGTGCTCGCTTAAAGGCACAACCTGCGATAAATCGCAATCACAGATAGTGCATTAGGGGTTCGCATAGACTAGACGACAATGTGCTGTGTAACTCGGTAATGAAAAAAGGCAGAAAAAACTCGTCACCCGCCTTACAATTAGATAGAACCCCATTTCAAGCCACTTTGTACGTGCCCAGTGAGCTCCATCTCCTACACTACGCCCTCCACACAGCTTATTCACTATAAGAACTCTACGACCTTACAAGTGAGCTTACGATTTTCATGCTTTTTCGTCCTGCAGCTTCGTTTTTCATTGGATGATGGAAGGCGGAGTCTGGAGACCGAGCCACTGGTAAAGGAGTGTCCTCTTTGGAGCTATATTGCGTTATAGCACCCCTCCCTAACAATTTTTTCGCCGTAAACCAGTACAAGGTTGTTCCTTGCGGACCACTACCCTCGCGACACCATATTTCCAACTTTATTCCTGATCGTGGACCAAGCCTTTGATGTTTCCCATTAAATACGAAAATATATGCCTCGAATGAAGCTGTCACGCCAACACCATCAAAATGAATGCTTTCACTGAAGTTAAAATAAAACCCCTGAAAAGTCGCACATAGGCCCTAATAAGAAGCAGGGGGTCTTGGTGGTCGGACAGGTACGCAAAACTACTTCCCAAGTGTTTAGCATGCGTTTCAAGAAAAAGCAAAACTACGAAATGCATCAAGGATTTGAACCTCCGTCTCACTACTATGAAGCCATCCACTTACCTGCTGCGCCATCGAGCCACGGCGGCAGCTGGGTCACGAGGGGTTTACGAGCGCAAAGCATGGGCAGGGGGTCGCACCGCAATGGTTAAGCACGGTAGCAAAAAAGGTCCGTAACTCTCCACCCAGAATCGTTTAGCAGATTTGGAAGTCAGATCTGATATCAGCATCCGGAGACGCTCCTAGGAGTATACATCTCATTCTGAATGGCCAGGACGAGTTGGTATCCTTCCCTTGTGAGTTACGACACGTGTCCTACCTGCAGGCTATTTAAAGCTGCTTGCTCGACAGTATCCAAAGAACATTATCAGATCGACGGTATCCCCAGGCAGCGAAACAAGATGAAACCCTGCTTTTGGCTGCTGGCAGAAAAACTGGATATAAGCTTGTGATCGCAACGCTGTGTTGACATAAGCACAATTCGGATCGGGACGCAGAGCTTCGCATCAGTGCATTTGAAGTGCAAGTACACTTCATTGTCAGAAATGCTTCCATTATTACCAGTATTTCATACATTACGAGGGACTTTTTGCTCAAGTACAGCAGCGAGGAAAAAAAATGGGAGAGGGCAAAGTCACGCGCTTTCAATGTTTTTGGCAGACCTTTTCAAATTGCACTTGAAAAACTTGTTTGCTCAGAATAATGCGCCTGAACAAACTATATTGAGAAATAGAGATGGTTGTTTGAAGTAGTGGTCGGGATGCCAGTAGTCACCCACTATATATAATTTGCTTCGTCTGTTTGTTTGCTTGTTAATTGGTTGTTTGTTTGTCCGGAAACTCGGTTCTACCAAGAACAACTTGGAGAGGTGGGGTCAAGGTCGGGATGGGTAGGGCATGTGACAGGATGTAAAGAGCAACCGTAACCCATGGTAAGCCCCGCCCACAGTGGGCGGGGCTTACCATGGGTAAAGTTAGCGGTCTCACCGAAAAAAAAATTTATAATTCGGCTCCAGAGCAGTCCCGAGATGGGGAAAAGTGGATTAAGGTTAGCAAAGGGTTGACCCATCAAATGGAGGAGACACACCCGAAATGGGGGGGGGGGGTACGCTAGAGATGGGCGGGGCTTCCGGTGTCACTGAAAAAGTCATAATTCGGCTACAGAGCAGTCCCGAAATGGGGGAAAAGTGGATTAAGGTTAGCGAAGGGTTATGCCATTAAATGGAGTAGGCACACTCGAAATGGGGTGGGCGTACTCGAGTTGGGCGGTACTTCCCACAAATGTCGGTAACTTGGTCCCCGAGAGAGTTTAGAGATTGCAAAAAAGTCTATGGCGAAGGCAGTTATCTGGCGAGAGTCCATCATATCTGCAGTGTGCTGTGCCCGCAGTGGGAGGGGCGTGACCTCAAACGTAAGGTATTATTAAAAAAATCGTAGTTTGGTCCTAGAGCACTACAGATGACGAAAAAGTGGATTATGGTCCCAAGTGATCCTCTTTGAGAACTGCAAAATAGACCATTATGGGCGGGGCCTGATTCAAAACAAAAATCCGAAACGGTTCCAGAGCACTCCAGACACCGGGAAAAAGGTTGTGGGTGGAGCGTGCATGGGGTGGGCGGAGCCAGACGAGAAAGACTTTGAAACGTTCCCAGAGAAGTCCAGACACTGGCAAAAGGTGAGCAGAGCTGTGCAAAATTCGGCCATTGAAGCGAGATACACACGCCCTTTGTGGGCGGAGCAGGTGTCGAGGTGGGAGGGGCAAAACTCAAAAATTCACGATTTCATTTTTTTTTTTTTTTTTTTTTTTCTTTTTTTTTTTTTTTTTTTTTCATTGCAGAGCAGCAAATGCACCGGGGACATGTGGACTGAAGGTCACGTATTCAGTGGATGAAATGGGGACGGGAGGGACGTACTCGAGATGGGCGGTGCTTGCTACGAGATTTTATATTTCGGACCTGAGTGATATTAGGGATCATAAAAAGTCGTTGGAGAAAGGAACCAGCGAAGGTTGAGTGCGTCTGTGATGTATAGAGACCCGTCCAAAGCGGGCTGTGCGTGCCTTCAAGCTGCCTACTTTTACTGAGCTTCAGTGCATCGGCAGCCATGCACTTAACCACCGGTCGTCGTAAATGCATTCGATACCAGTCGGCTCGCCGGCTGACGCCGGCGCGCCTCCTCTGTGATACGGCCCGGCCTTGCCGGGCGAGGCGTGCGCCCGCCCGGCGAAGCCGGTAGGTGTCACAGAAGAAGGCGCGCTGGCGTCAGCCGGCGAGCCGACTGGTCAAAAATATTGTGATAAGGCACACAGCTGCTACTATATTGGTTTCATTTTAAATTTATTTTATAAGGCTCTGGGGAACAGAGAATTCTGGATCGTAGTGAAGTTAAGTAGAAGGTATTTAAAAGAGTACCAAGACAAGTCTGTCCCCTTGGCTCGATTAGCCTAGCCAGACTAACCCATTTCTGCTGCCAGCCATGGAGCTGCGTCTGCTGAAAAAGCAACCCGTGCCACCTTTCTCCACACAAAACTTGGACGCTCAATGTTAGCGAAATGTGCCTTTGCTGTAACGTTCAAAAAGCGAAGGAAGAAGGGAATGGGGCGTCTCTGGTGTCAGTGGGCTATTTGCGGCTGGTCATTGCGTCTCACCGAAATTTTTTTCTCTTTTTTTTGAGAACAAGATGATAGTTTATGTTGAGGTTCGACCCTATCGAGATTAAGTGGAATTTTTTGGGAGTTTCCATTAGCCTTACAAGACAAATTCAGAACAATCAGCAATCATTGGTGTTTCTAGGGCGTTTGGTTGTGATGTGGTGGGGTGCAGTCGATGTAAATGTCAGTGTTTTTATCCTCCATACAAACCTGGTGCAAACAGGCTAGGCCCGAAGGGATAGAGTTGCCTCGTTGCGGGAGCCGATCCGGGATGTATCCTTTGGACAGCGTCACTTAGTGAGTAGCGCCACTTGCCTCTCAACCACCGCTCTGATTGATACTATTTTGCATTGCATTATATTATCGGTTACAGTGCATAATACTGTTGATACAAAGTAGAATAATTGAGTTGAAATGGATAAAAATGTCGTTTCTTGTCCTTCCAACTTTTTCTCCTGCTACTGTATCCGGGTATTTTACCTCTGTGTCTCTCCTGTTGCAAGCCTAACATTTTGTAGGATGCGAAAGCTGTCGGAATGGAGAGTTGGAAAATTTGCGAGAGATAATGGCGAGTATGAATACTTCTGTTTTAGAAAGGCCACCTGAGCTTCCAGGTCCGTTTCAGTCTCGTGATAGTTAGTGTTTTTCACGCAGAATATTCCATGCAATATTTCAGAAGCTGAACATAAAGACGATGTACTAGTTGCTGCTGACAAGGTGGCCTTGATTATCAGCAACTGTATGTACCAATATCTACCGAAGCTAGTAACCCCTCTTTGCGATGCCGAAACCTTAGCGACTGCTTTACAGGTTCGTGCCTAGTTTGTGAGGAGGGTATGTAACCTCTTGAAGATTGAATTAATATTTTATTCTCGCAGGATTTGAAGTATAAGACAGTGACGCTAGCGGATCTCACCTTGGCTGAAATGAGATACTTAATCAAGGAATACAAAAAGCTGCTGGGCAATGGAATTTATGGTATCTCAGTAAAATTTTGGTTTTGAATTTCGATCTTGAATACACTGAATCACAGCTGTTTTCTACTTCGTGGGACACGGCTTCGAAGTGAACGGACAGTGCTACCTGCTTCCTGTTGATGCTCCATCAGAAGCCCACAAGCCAGAGCACTGTCTTTCTATGGATTATGTCCTTGATCAGTTCAGTGATCATAACCCAGCGCTCAATCTGCTTCTCTTAGATGTGTGCAGGAAGTTCATTCCGTGAGTGGTAAATTCCGCCTGCTTTTAGTATACAAGCCTAATCCACATTTTCCAGGTACGAGTTTGTGTCTGCCTTTGTTGACTATGCGGAACCTTTTAAGTTGAAGCACAAGCCTTCTCGGAACACCGTTTATGGATATTCTACGAGTGGTGGAGTAGGAGCTTATGAAGTTCGTCCTCTTCTTCTTAGCACTGTGCCTTCTGCTAATGTTGTGTTTCCTTCAGATAAAAGGCGAGATGAATGGTGTTTTCATGAAATATCTCAAAAGGCACATACATCAGAAGGTTTCTGTGATCCAAATGTTAAATGACACATCGCGAGGTTCGTTCACCTCCAGTCTCGTTACGCTAGTATCATCGATTTCGTTGCTTGCAAGCATAGGATTAATGAAAACCTTAGGAACGTCGGAATGAAGTTGCAATATCAAAAATTCAGATATTGAGGAGGACGAGAAAGTGTGTGATGTGCAAGTTCCTGAATTACGGTCAACGTTAACTAGGCCCCGGTCTTTAACCGATCCTTTGGTTTGGGACGGACATACCATGTCCTTTGACCATCACACCATTCACTGGAGACTTATGCACGGTAGGTCTCGATAAACGGCCCTGCACTGCATTTCATAAAATCTTTCTTCTAGAATTGCCGAATCCCGTCTATGCACGTTTCAAAGAGTTGGCTCTATCTGTCACAATATGGTTCGATTTTTGTGGACATTTCACCAACAAGGTGAGGGGCCAAGTCTGTTTTCGTCATAGTTTTTCTTTTCGGATACATAGCATCTGTTTGCTGAGAAGGGAACGGACATAAACTAGGATTGCAGGGAGTAACTATACTGCAGCTGTTGAGCCTGCTTTGGAAACTATGGCTTACCCGTTAGCGTTATTACCGTTTTATGTCACCCACCCAATAGGGTTTTCACCGCTGTATCTATTATTGGAACTACTGTCCCACTATTACTGTGTTCCGCGCTAAGAATTTGGTGATCCTCTCCTTCCAACGTTCCTTATCAAATACTATCAGCAGTTATCTCTTCCTGTAACCCATCAATAGTGCTTGTCCCACCCTCAGTGTGTCAGCTGTGAATCTCTCGATCAGTATGGAGGGGCTGAGAGGCGTACAAGCAGACAGAACAAGTAAGTGATTTAAGGGCAGTGATTCTGCGATCTAATAATTATTTCGAGGTGGTGCGGGCGAGTTGTACGAAGTAAAAGATTATTGAAGAGATACACTGGGGCGGCACTTACAGTAAATGTACCATAGATTTGCCAGCCGCACCATCCGGCGACCTTTCACGCATACTCACTAGTAAAGTCCGCCAACTTACCATGGAACTCTGAATGGAGATCGATATAGAGTCTATAAGGTTATTTACAAATATAGATAGCAAAACTGCAACCTGCATTTCACAAGCAACTTATGAGCAGGTAAAGTTTGTAATGGTGCAGTAGGGTGGTAGTCGTCAAACGTCGGTATTCGATTCCTCGCTTATGCTTCACAGCTCACCACCAAGCCTCCACCCTACTGCACCATTACAAACTTTACCTGCTCATAAGTTGCTTGTGAAATGCAGGTTGCAGTTTTGCTATCTATATTTGTAAATAACCTTATAGACTATCGATCTACCCAGGTCTCCATTCAAAGTTCCATGGTAAGTTGGCGAACATCCCTGGTCAGCAAATTATGTATGTAGTAGGATCGGCAGTCTCACTAGGAACAGTGGATTCAAAAAACGATGACTCAAACCGCGCCTCTAGTAAGTTAACGTAAAATACAAGTCATGTCAGTGTATGAAAGCTGCGGGAAAGAACGGAGAAGACAGTCTCCGCAGAAGGGCGGTGGTCGCCACCGCTGCGTCCATTGAGGCGCGGGTAGGCGTTTCGGATAACAACTCGTAAGCCCGCCAACTCTCATGTGATCCAGGCAGGGCACTTAATGGCTTTGGGGAAAAAATTTCTGCAAAATATGTCTCCTCCAATTTTTTCCGATATTCCCGTTGGGGATTCCTCAACTTGCGACGGGAGATAAGTGTTAGATACCTCCGATCAGCTGCTAGAACTAGTTCTGCAGCGCCGCCGGCTTAGTACTTTCCAGGTCAAATACAACCCACCGTTAGAGTGGGTTTTTCCAACGTACGACGTGCCCTGAACTTGACCTTGAGGAAGATTTCTTGAATCGTACGTCAGTCATTGATCAATCTTTCTGAGATACATCAGGCATTCTGCCTCTGCTTACTGCATCTGCTTTGAAAGGAGATATGGGATATGCAAGCTCAGCCGTTGATTGAAGATGATTCAATCACTACCGGTGGGGAAAGTCATTGAGAAGTGCAGCGCAGAAGCCGTGAAGATTAGAACCGTGACCTGAGCCGCCTAAAAATATACGGCTCCTACAGATCGTTATATGAAAGTTTTCAGCACCCGATCACTATGCTTTCGTTATATCATACCAGTCGGATCGGCCGGCTTCGCCGGCCGATCCTCCTTCCGGGTGTGAAGTGGGTCCCGGTGAGAAGTTTTCCATGAGAGGGAGGGCCAGCCTTCCGGGTGTGAAGTGGGTCCCGGTAAGAAGTTTTCCATGAGAGGGAGGGCCACAGAATACTCATTACCATCAACTTTTCTTAGAATGCTTTCCTTGTGAGGCGTCATACATAATCCCACGGCAGCGGTAGGCGTTTCTGCGCGCTCCATTGGATTATTCTAGGTATCACAAGACAGTATGACAGCTGTTTCATGTTCATGTATCCCACAAATAAGTTAAGCGATCTTCGAATGGATGCGCAGCCACGCCTCCAACGTCCCTAGTGTCTTCGCTCACTTGCGACATGTAGAGTCCAGTCCATCAGTCTCTCATACTCGTTCCACCTAAGGCGGCATGTAGCGGCTATTTCTAAACAGAGCAATGAAGCTTTTGTTGTTACCGTTTCGAGTGTGGGAAATAGTTGTGAACTGTCCGCTAGGGACTGCTATAGGGCTTAAAGCCCTCGCAATTAGCATGCCGTTTCCTTTCTCTTTCAAGGCAGTGGGCACAATTGCTGGGGGCCGCAGTTGTTGCCAGCCTCTCGCAGAACTTTCGCCAATCAGGCTGGTAACAACCGCCCGCCTCCAGCAATCGTACTCTCGTCACGCACTTCTGCGCGACCATCACCCATGTGGTGGATAGATGTGAGGGGATGGCTTGCCTTTGCAGGGTTCTTAAAGGCACTGTCAATAAGAGCCTGGGCACTGGCAGTTGAGTGGCCTATATTAGCCCAACCATTACACTTTATATTGGCTTTGGCTGAAACTTGGGCTCTAGGGGTAATTCGACCTCCTGAACACGAATATCACATCCGCTCCTCCCGAAACTGCCTGGCGCCCGCGCCACAGGCGCCGGCGCCAAAGTACCCTAGATCACCAAATCCGCTGAAAACTTGTGCCCAGGGGTAGTTCGACCTCCTGAACACGAATATCACATCCGGCCTGAAACCGCTCGGCGCCCGCGCCACAGGCGCCGGCGCCAAAATGCCCTAAATCACTGGCGCCTGTGGCGCGGGCGCCAGGCACTTTCAGGCCAAGTGGATGTGATATTCGTGTTCAGGAGGTCGAATTACCCCTAGAACCCAAATTTCAGCCAAATCTGCCCCCGTAGAAAAAAGTCGATCAAGATCCGGCCTGTTTTCGCAAAACTGGGGTAGTAATAGTTGAATAGTGCCCATTTTGTAAAGAAAGTAAATCAGATGAATCGTTCAGGTTTACGTGTTTTCGTCAGTAAGCGACTTACTGGATG